TCAACATTATCAGATTATATAACTAAAAGTTATACATGAAAAGTCTCGACGGAACATTTCAAACTTAGATATCCTGTTCTTCATTTATAAGAGGTGTCTATTGTAATAAATCCGCTCTCGATTTTTTTTAGTGCAGTGCACTATTTTTTTGCCAGTAATCTCAATTTGACACCAAGACCCGATTTCTGTTGGAGTTTTTGATCCAATATCGGAGTGTGTAAACGCATTTATAAGTTCATGCTCGCAGCACTCACACAAGTTGATGGTGTTGCGAAGCGCAAGCTGCCAAGTGGAAACCGGTAGCTGTTGCATCTCGCGCGGTGAGCGACATCCCACAGCCTACGTTGCCACATCTGACTCAAAAAGAGAGCATTGCTGTCTTGTTGCCGTTCCCTGATTCTATTTTACCCGCGCCAAGGGAAAACGCTGTAAGAACAGTCTAATGTTACCAAATCTACCCCTTGGAAGTATTTATTTCTGTGGAAATTTGAATTTTTTTTTTTTTTTTTTTTTTGAAAATAGATCCTTTCGATTCAAACTGCAAATGGAATTCGCTGAAAAATTGAAAGAAAAGTTTAATGAATTTCGGTGTTTTATCAAAGAAAATATGGCAAAGTTCGAAAACGGCGTTACTCTGTAACAGGATAAAACCAGGCTGTTCAGGACCCAGAAAACCCCCTGAAAAATCACCGCTCTTATTTTATTGATGCGAGGTGAAAGAAGCCAAATTAGTAGCTTGAAAAGAAAATTCTGCTAACAAGTAAGTAAAATCACAGAAGTTTCCAACAAATAACGTTGACTTCAGCTTTCTCCGCGAGAAAAATAAAGTATGACGGAAAATCTGCAACGTCGCAAACAGGGATACGTAAAATTTCGCCTTTTGGCAATCAATGTGGATTTAAGGCGTCTTCACAAGGCAGTGTCGCATTATTATTTTAAAGACTTGCGGATCATTTGATTTTGCTCCGGACTGATTTGATTTCGGATTAATACACGGGAGAATCCTATTCGGACTATCGGCACGGTTGCCAGGTTTGGAGGTAAAATGTGGACATTTTGCATGGTTTTAGATACGGGAAAGTGCCGTTTTTCAATACCATCTGGCAACATGCACTTATGCACTTTCCGCGTCTGCCTGCCCCGGTTCTCATGCTGTGACTCAGAGACGCCACCGCACCGCGTCAACCTGCAATGAGAGTAAGATTCAAGTTTTTATGCAACCAACTCGCCCCTCATGCATCAGCCGCCGATCTATGTCGACTCAATTTTCTCCCTTTCAATTTTGGCAAGTCTTCTTCTTGCTTTTAATCCCTCAGATTTTTGTGCGGGTTCATAAAAGTTCTCAAGAATAACTGTGACCAAATCTGTGAAAATGGACCTTATCTTACAGAAATTATTTGAGTAATCGGTATACCGCTATATGTAGGAAGAATTCCGGGTATTCCGGCGCCGGCGCAAGTTGGACCGTGGAAGCTCATAAATTGAGGGATATATGAGGTCTTGAATTCTGAGACAAAAATTCTGAGGCTCTTGAAAAACGTGCATGGTTCAAGCTCTTGAGAAACGTTCTCGGAAATTTTTTCCCGGAAGACAAGGTTCTTTTTCACAGATTCGGCCAATATTTCTCGTATTTTCCCCTTACTCCTCGAAAAATACTCATAAATGGACGAAATTACCCAGGGCAATCGAGATCGTCGGAAAGTATTTGAATGAATAAAAAAATTTGCGCACGGCTCCGAGAAAGGTTATTTGATTGGTCGGAATATTGAAAATCGTTCTCTTATCCTGTGCAACCTATTCACTGCGCGGAGGAAAACACTCGTTGAGTCAAAGAAATGACTTATTGCGTCTTGTGAGATTCGAGCCGTGACGGAGAAAGTTTTTCTGTTGATAGCGGTGGTTGTTATAGACTCGGGAAAATGGGGACTAACTGGACCGAGTTAAACAGAAAGGAACCAAGCCACATCAGCTATTGCCAAATTTAATTGAACAATTCAATTATTTACACGAAAACGGTAGTGCGGATTTTCGTGCAAATTTCAGTGAATTTTCTCCATAGTACAAAGCAAATTCCCTGTCATTTTCACAGAAATCCGCACAAACGTTCTTTCATAAAAAATTGAATTGCCCAGTTAATTTTGGCAACAGCTGATGTGGCTTGGTTCCTTTCTGTTAAACTCGGTCCAACTATAGAGTCTCTCCTGGGTTTCCGGTAGTTAGTCTATTATCTCTTACCTATACCTCCTTTGTCCATTGCAAACACCGCTTCTACCAATAAGATTGCTCCATTTTCTCCTCGCCTGGTTTGTCTATAGAGTCCGCGCCAACTTTTAGTTTACACACATTAACATTGCGACAAAATATCCATCACCTTGCTTCTTGCATTCACTTTTATCCGGAAATGACTTCAGGCGATCTTCTGTCGCAGTCTAAAAGTGAGTAAAGTTATTTGGCGTGTACGCCAACTTTATCCATCAATGCAGTGGTGTGGCATGCCTTGCAATATTTCGATTGATCTGCCATTTAAACTTATAGAAAAGGATCGATAAACAGGGTGCGCGCAACGAACGTCCATATAATCTATTCTTAACCATAGCTACAAAGGAGGGAATATCGATCATTCACGCCTCGCCACTGTATTAATGTTAATAATCATCCGCAGTTCGGTTCAATGAAGAATGCCGGACCAAGTTTTTGCGCTGTTCTCCCTATTTTAATTTTCCGCAACTACAATTATTGATGGAGTTGCATGCACTGGCGGATCCAGCAAATTTGCAACATTGTTTTTTCTCAATTTAAACCTATGGAAATGTATCGCTTCTTGAAGGGGCCAGGTGCTCCGACAAGAATCGATTATTTAACATAGGTTTAAATGGAGGAAATCCAGTTTTGTCAAATTGCTTGATCCGCCCCTGATTGCATGCAGTTCTTTACGGAGGTGGCGAACATGATCTTAATCGGCGACGACTTACACCGGAAAAAAAATAAAAACACATTGGATCTAGAGTCCAGACTCTTAAAAACATCGACAAGAAGAAATACTCTTGATTCAATCAGATTTAAGCTTAAATCAAAAACCAAGCCTCTTAATTTGAGCGGATTTCCTTTTGATTTAAGCTTAAATCTGATTGAATCAAGAGTCCTTTTTCTTATTGTCAATGTTTTCAAGAGTCTAGACTCTAGATCCAGTGTGTGTTTTTTTTCCAGTGTACACCGTGCTTTGCGAAGGACCCATTAATCTGTCATTTCAACCTATGGAAAAGGATCAATGATCAGGGTACATGTTAAAAAATCGATTCTTTATCATAGCTTCAAAGGGGAAAATATCGATAGCAGATGATTCACGATTCGTGTGATGAATAGCCGTCGAACTTGACGTTCCATGTCAACACTGGTTACACTGTCAACCGCGAGACGACCGATCGAGATGGACACGAGGACTGGGTCAACGACTCGCGTTGCAGTGAGTCATTCACAACACGATCCATCCAATACAAGCTCACTGCGCTGCGCCGCACTAGAGTCCCTTTATACTGAGAGTCAAGACAATTTGAATCCATTTCTGATTGGTTCCCGTATTTTAGGCCTCCACAGTGTCACAAACGGGAATAAAGATTACATTTTCACCATTTGCAAAGATTATAATCTGGAATGGACCAGGGAATTACGGGTTCGGCAAGGAACAAACGGAATGAGAGGAGGAACGGAGAAAGGCATTTGAGAATGGGCCGATCAAAGATTACGAAAAACATTCAATTTCTGTAATCTTTATTCCCGTTTGTGACATCCATGAGCCGCATTGTCTTGACTCTCAGTATAAAGGGACTCTACGCCGCACAATGAGTCAAGTCCAGGAGAGATGTCGGACATGGCCTTTTTTTTTTACTAAAACAGCAAATTTCTATATTTATTCCGTCAAATTTCAAATTTTGAGAGGTGGTTCGCGAAGGAAATTTTTCGAGAAAACCAATGGGACCATTTTCAAGACCCCAAGATTTTGTAATAACGAGGTTGTAAGCTTTTAAAGTTTCTAAATTTTGTCTGACTTCTCCCATCGACTTGATCCGTTGTGCGCCGGCCGAGTCGGTCACGAGACCAGACGGTACACCTACGCGATCAAGTCGGGCTGTCATCTCAACGGCCAAGACTCCCGGATTTAACGATTTGTAAAATTTTCACTTCAGTCGTCTGGAGCTTTTACGAAGAGTCAGTCATCTAGAATTTTTCTCAATTTTTACTAGTCCGATTCCTGTCTCGGAAGTCGTCGCGTCAAGACTGTCGAATAAGCGGAGGGCGTCCGTCCCGTCCGTTGAGGACGGCGATCGCAATCCCGTCCTGCACGGTTCAAGTTGGGGGCAGTCAGGTCAAAATAGCATTTGACCCGGAATAAATTGCAACGAAAGCTTTTTTTTGCGGGAATATCTCTAGTTATACTACCTAAACAACATTTCAAAAGTTCGACACGGTTTGGCGATCGAAGGGGGAAATGACCCTAAAACGCTAAAATGCACTAACAATTTGCATTTTTAAGATATTTTTACATTTTTTACGAAAAGTATTAAGCTTTTACCAAAAGAGCAAAGGGCCTTTTAGAAAGTACATTTTAGGAAGTACATACATTGCACTTTTAATTTGCTTTAAAATGAGTGGTCGTTCAACACTCTGCAAAGATTCGTTCTTCAGTTACGGGGAAAAGAAAAGAGCTTAAATTTCCGGCAACTTTGCGAGAAATCGTGTTTTTCAGCAGTTATCATCATTTTCGACGAAAAATATTAAGTTAGCTCCGGAAAAGCTGAAAATTATGTTGAAAGTAAATTAAATATACGTTGCATTTTTTTACCTCTTATTTGTGCATTCTATTTCTACTTCGGCAATCGATGTACATTATATATAAACCATGTAACAATATATCTAAGGAAGCTAATGTTTTGGAACCTGCAAATGAAATATATGTACCAGTTCTATGCTCTGCTCTCATTACCTATGTTTATTCATTCCAGGTTGCAAGAGGCAGAAGAAGACAAAGAAAATAGGCCAATCGATGATTCCGAGAACTTAAAAACACTCCAAAGTCTTTCAGATGGAAACAAAAATATACCAGGTGCGTACCCTTATTTTAACTTTATTTCATTGAAAATTCAGTGAGCATGTACTTGAAGTGCTTGTCTTGATGTATTTTAATCGGAGATTTGAAATTTCCTATCACAAATTCATTTCAATTGAATCGAACGTATGATCCTTATTGAAGAGAAGATATCGAGCACCAGGCACCGGGCACCAGGGATGTGGAGATACGGTGGATCGGACCGGGCAGGGATACAGGATGACTTAAAGTCCGGGTTCGGACATCACGACAGGCCGAAGGGATTTGATTATGAGAGTGGTGGGTGATGCCCTTGACCTATTTCTGCCGCGCGCTGTGTCCAGTAGAGCAAATTGGCTGACCTCAGAGATCAGAGTACGAGGGCAAAGGCTTAATCAAATGTTTGTATGCTAACACCTCGGCGCGCCAGCACGTGACTCTCAGATCCTGTGCCTTGATCGCTCGTTTAACACACACAAGAAAAAAAACACATTGGATCTAGAGTCCAGACTCTTGAAAACATTGACAAGGAAATGGACTCTTGATTCAATCAGATTTAAGCTTAAATCAAAAGGAAATCCGCTCAAATTAAGAGGCTTGGTTCTTGATTCAAGCAAAAATCCGATTGAATCAAGAGTATTTTTTCTTGTCGATGTTTTTAAGAGTCTGGACTCTAGATCCAATGTGTTTTTTTCCAGTGCAGGGTGACCATGGTCGATGAACTGAATAAATGGTCGATGAATGGTTGAGAAACTTAGGAAAGTCAGGAGAGGGATGAAAGGGGGCTCAGAAAAAACTAGGAAATGTCAGGGCAAACCGGCGAAATGGCGCATTCGAAAGTGGCGAATTAATCCACTAATCGCGGTTTTGGGCGTGGTCGAACTAGCGTTAGATATATAGCATCGACTAAATGAAACGTCTAATCAGATTTTAAATTTCTAGCCAAAAAAACGACCTTGCACATTGTCATTCCCCGGACGAAAGAACGTAACTTCATTCCAAGGGTGCGAAATTGACTCGAACAAATAAATTTCTTACAAAAATGTACCAGTACCAATTTCTTCCAAAAATGTTTCTGATTTTTACATGCTCTTAGGAGAAAATTCAGGTTTCGAATTTCAAAGGTTCTCTTAATAAAAATACAAGTTGTCAGAGAAAAATTGGCAGCATTGTAATGTAGTTATGTTCTTTGGTGAAGGAAACGACGGCGTAAGTCTTCAGAAAGTACTTGCTATGCAGTGGCGTGGCGTGAACAATCGATTATCGATTTTTCCCCATTTTAAGCTATAGTAAAGAATCGATTATGAAGGCGTTCGTTGCGAACACCCTGTATATCGATTCTTTTCCTTGGGTTTAAATGGCAGATCAATCGTTGTATCGCAAAGGACGCCACGCCACTGTTGTTATGAAAAACAATTGCAAAAGTCGGCGTCATTCCCACCATTTTTCACCTCTAGTTGTACGCGTGCTTTTCGACTTGCAAAGTCAGGGAATTCCCGAAAAAGTCCGGACGTTTTTTCCGCTGAATATTAAACAACCTGAAAATTCAGAAATAAAAAAAAACGGGATTCTGCGTTAAAAAAGAGAGAAAAAGAAGAAAGAAAAACGTTGCACCTGATACAGAGATCGATGGCTGGACTCAATTTCACAGCCAAATCTTTTTTTTACACCTCCGAATCCTGCAAATTGTTTTTTCAGAATGATTTTTCATGGCGATCTGTCTCAAGGGGTTGACGTTTCAGGAACGGGAACGTTTCGTTGGGCAATCGGTCGGTTCACTCGAGGAACGTTATTAATTAGTGCGGCTCCTTGGTCCACTTGATTTCCTGTTCCTTCAATTGATTTTAATTATTTAAGCGCGACTTGAGCGGACGACTCCCCAATCCGTCCACGTCCAATTCATCCTTTCTGCATGCGTGCTCACCTTCGGCACCCAAGCCCTGGCTTCGAGTCCCGCGCAGTAGCCATTCTCGTGTAATCCCTTTTAAGGATCTCTTGCCAAAGTTTCACCGCTGAATGCCACTCGAAGTTCGTTAAAATTCCCCTTTTTATGATACCGAATTAAGGCTCTCCTTAAACTTCCCTTAGCCACCATATGAACCATATGGAGCCTCCTGAGGGAGGAGCTGTTCATTGGCGGATCTAGCAAATTGGCAACATTTCCATCGTTTTTCTCCATTCACCCTGGTAAAAATTGGCAGTAGAATGTGTGTTCCAAAATACTATAGACCTAAAGCCGGCTGTAAGATTTCCAATAGCTTCTCTAGCTGGCTGTACAATTTCTTATAGCCTTTTATAGCCGATGGCGATTAAGCGACAGCCAGACGATGAAGTTTATGCTAAACGTTTCTAAATACGGATACTAGGACCTAGTTAGTTTTTGGACTACCGCTCTCTTTTTGTGCCGTAGTATCTTGATTTATTTTGCGAGGAAAGCTCCGTACTTTTGAAGGATGCCTGTCATTCTTAATATGTTGGAGCGCCTTCAACTTTTTTTATGATACTGTGCAATACCTCTGGTGTGAAGAAGTTGCTTCAGACGCCGTGGCGCGCTGCGGTGCGGCAGGCGGGCAGGCAGCGCGAAACGCGCATTGGCGCCTACAAACCTAACAGGGATACTTCACGCATTGCGCAATGCGTGAAGTATCTCTCTTAGGTTTGTAGGCGCCAGTGCGTCGCTGCTCCGCTTTGTGTCCGGCTCTAATTAATCTCGCGGAGTCAGGGTTTTCAACTCATGATTTTGAAATGTTTGCACACTCAGTATGGATTATTCTCATTTTGATTGATGAAAAAAATATGTATTAAAGGAAAATATAATGTGTGTTTTGTAAATATTAAGGTAGTTCCGTATCAAACTTAATGATTTCCTAAGCACACGAATTTCTACACAATTTCTCATAGCCCTTTATAGCCAATGGCGATAAAGTGCAAAGCCCGGCGATAGGAACTATTGCCCGACTGTATACTTTTTTATAGCTTCGTATAGCCCGGCTATATGATTTGCTCCGCGTTCTACAGCCAGCTATATGATATTCAATAGCCTTCTTTAGTCGGCTTTAAGAACTCCTATGATATTTTGAAACGCAGCTCGTATCGTCAATTTTAACCAGGGTAAACCTATAGAAATGTATTGACTCTTGGACGGGCCAGGTGCTCCGACAAGAATCGATTATTTAACATAGATTTAAATGGAGGTAATCCAAATTGCTGGATCCGCCTCTGGAGCTGTTTAAACAACGACTATGAATACGGTCCTTCATCGTGTACTTAAGTGGGGAAAAAACAATGGTGGCCACTTGCAAGAATTGCGCCTTTTGGTCCCGCGATCTGCATTTGAGTAGCCTTACCTTGACAGGCAGTCATCATTTGCTGCACAGGCGGATCCAGCAATTTGGCAACACCGGATTCCCTCCATATAAACCTAAGTTATACTATCGATTCTTATCGGAGCACCTGACCCCTCCAAGAATCGATACATTTCCACAGGTTTAAATGGAGAAAAACCATTGTTTTTCTGCCAAATTTACCAATTTGCTGGATCCGCAAATGATTCGCTGACGATTCTGTGACATTTTGAATCGACCCATTTTTCCAGAGATGCTCGAAAGTGCCTGTTTTTTTACCGGAGCCGCGGGTTCGATTCGTTTGAATGAAGCGTGTCCGAGAACCATTCAATGCTTCACGTCTCGGTAACAAGCGTTGGATGAAGCCACCGAAGGGGGGGGGGGGGGTGTACAAATTGAATTGAATCCGAGCAGCAGAATGATGAAATCAAGTAGAAAGCTAAGTGCGACGCAATGAATGGGATTTGGCACGGTCAAGTGTAAGCAGATACACTTTTATTTTTGAAAATGGAAAGTGTGTGGCGGGAGTGACGGGGCGTCACGATCTGCTGTCGCGAGCGGAGGTGTTCAACCTCGGATCTGTCTGTGGTCAGGGTCCAGGAAGCAGCACGCTGATTATTGAAATTTATAGACAAAGCGATGGACAACGGAGACAAAGGGGAAATGGAGTGATTCTATCGGCGAAAGGGTGTAATTGCAGTGGAAGGAGGAGGTGTACGAAATCGACCCACTAATGGCACACCCTCTAGTAAGTCCATAACAATCACCCATTTCGACCAATAGGATCCCTTCCTTATCCCGGTGTCTCGCGCTGCATACAGATAAACTCACAGGGGTCGCAAAACGGGCTTTAGAAAGCGCGAAGCGCCCCCTTGGGGTCGGACTTCAAAGTGGCCAGGGAGCGTGCCTCCTTGCTTTGTCATATTAAGTAATTCAACTTCTGTTTCTGTTTCAGATGGGAACACCATACTACAACCTCATTGTCATATTACTCTCAAGTGCACAAAAGAGGTCAGTAAATTTAGAGTAAATTTCAGTTTTTTCAAGAGCTTTGCCAAAAAGTGAGAGAAATTCGAATCATTTCATTTTTTTTACCACGTCGGAAACACTTTTTTATCTATTCGTATTTTTATTCGAGGATCAAGAATAGAAAATGTAAGAAAATAAATTATGGACTGCTAAAAATTTCGGATTTCTCGACACTGACTCCCTCGTAACGCCTACGTGACGTACTACCATGGTAAGGAAAAACGCCGTATGAGCCCTCAGGCGTTGCCAAATTTCCTTCGGCAAATCACTAATTTTCAAGAAAATTTGTGAATATTTTTCTTCTAATTTCTCAGGTAATTTTGCTTGCAATTTGATCATAAGTCAGCAAATTTTAAGGAAAAATATTTTCAATTTTCCTCAAAAATAATAATTTTATCGGAGGAAATTTGGCAACTCTCGAATGTTCATGCGGCGTTTTTCCTTAGCACGGCAGCGTAGGTCCTTATCCTTTAACACGTAAAAACAAAATGGCAAGGCGCAAAGCTCTCCTCGCCCTCCCCCCTCGCCCCCCCTCACCCTCCCCTAGATTGTCACGTATTTTATGAGCCTTCTCAGGATGGCAACATACCATGAAAATTCTCTAGACTTAAACTAGAAACTTATTACCGGAGATTTTAGAAACTTTTGAATTATAAGAAAATCGAGAAGTAGGTGCCAACTGCCATAGATGAAGTTTTCTTGCATTCAAGTGCGCGTTGCATACCTAGCCCCTGAAAAATACGTTTCCAAACGGTCATAAATTTCATAAGTTTCACGGGCCCATGAATTTCACGGAAATTTCCAATGTTTCATATGTCTCTTGCGTTTCATGCCACCTCGCCTCTAACTCATAAGGTGATCTCCTTGACTTTTCATCAAACAATTAACTTTTCACTTGAAACTAGAGATAGGGGCACAAACCTTAGTAGATCCTAAGTAGATTAAACCAGGGCCGAATTAAGGGGGTGGCCACGTGGGCCGCGGCCCATGGCGGCAAATTTAGGGGGCGGCAAATTTTGCAATTTTTTTAAATGGAGCTACATAAAAAAATTGGACTAAAAAAAAAAAATTACGAACGAAAAAAGGTGATAAAATCTCTCATTTTCTGAGAGAATATCTATAATTTTGTCGTCCTTCTGTGATACAATAGACAGCACCTTTAATTAGTCGAGTTAAGAGAGAAACCAAGCACACAATTTGGCCTGGAACGGCGCGGCGCAGAGAGCAATGATGACGAGAAGGTGAGATGAAAAGGAGAAACCCTCGGCGCGGCGGTCGGCATGTAACACATTTTAGCGCCTACAAGACTGCACGAATACTTCACGCATTGCGCCAAAGACAACGCGCAGCGTGAAACGCATAGCGCCTACAAGGCTGCATGAATACTTCACGCATTGCGTCAAACACAGTGCGTGCAGCAGCGGTCGGCCCGAAACGCATAGCGCATGTAAGGCTGTAGGAATACTTCACGCATTGCGCCGAACACAGTGCGGTCAGCGCGGCGCGGCGGCGGAAGTTAAAATTTTTTAACCACATTTATGTTTGTTCTTTCATAATTTGTTGGTTCATTTCTTATAAATGGAAGGCCCTGTCCATACAGAGATAGGTTTACGGAACTTAACTTTCGTTCTGTGATCTTTTGCTAGTAGTGTTGACAGGGCTTTCGCAAAAAATGGGACCAACACGAGTAAACGCGTCTTATACACCCCTCCCCCTCCGGCACGTTCACTTGACGGTTTTTATTGGTGTTTCAAAACGAATGAAAAGGGGGCGGCAAAATACAGGCGGCCCATGGGCGGCAAGTAAGTAAATCCGGCCCTGGATTAAACCTCTTTTTTTCTTTTTTTTTATACACAAGATTCCTTAAAAATGAAAATAATTATCTGCATGATTTGAAACTCTTAAAAACAGATAGCGAGACAAACTTAATGGATGGAAATGTTTAATTTTGTTCACAGATAGCAGGATTCAATGGACTTAGCGATGCTTTCAAAAGGTTAGATTTCCGATCAGCCGTCCATGATGTGCGAAGGTTCAACTACATCTGTAAACTATTGGATCTTCTAATTTCTCACAAATTGCCGGCGCTCTCTGGTTGTGCTCAAAAAGTCTTGTTCACAATGCTGGAGGAAGTTGCCTACCAAGGTACTAAATAAGGTTCCTTTCTTTATCATCAAAAATGCCCATTGTTTTTTAATGTTCTTGCATTTTTAAGATTCTTGCAGTGAATCAGAACGAATTTAAGAAACATATTAAGTCTTCGAATACTGGTTGCCGAATGTCCAAAGATCTACTGGGTCAGTTTCCATGATTTTCCGGCCATCAGCAGCCATTAATATCTAAATTGATCCATGAAAATTGATGTTATCTTCCTGGAAAGATTTCCTTGCAAATCCGTAGAGTGACAAATCTGGAAATTTTGACGCAAGTTTTGTCATAAAATCTCAAAAATTGAAGGAAAAGTTAGTCCTAGAGTTCCATAAGACAAAAATTCTTAGGTTGTAGAAAAACATGGTTTGAGTTTTTATAAAAAAGTTAAGGAAAATTTTCTCCCAGAAGATGAGGTTCCTTTTCATAGATCCACTCACAAATAAAGTTACTGTCTTCAAGTTCTTTTATTACGACCCAGGTTTTTTTATTGATAGGAAGCAGCTCTGTAAGAGTGCAGAACACTCATTTGGGGTGTAGCCTTGTAGCAGCAAAGGGGTGGCCGCGCTACTTATCTTTGATACTATTGCTTTTATTTTGTTCTCTTACGTTTTTTAATTTAGTTTCTGCAAGCCAACAAAATATTCACATGCTGAATCGATTGCTGAACCAATTGCAAGTAATGATAGACTGCGCCTGTTGGGGACGACCTCTAGGCTCTACGCAATTGTGGGAGAATCATCTAGTCTCGATTAACAGAATACTTAGTATTGCTAATCGAATTCAAATAAGAGAGGTAAATATACTCAGACTACTTATAAAATAATTGAGAATGGTTGAGAGAAAATGTTTCATGCGGCATAGTAGCCTTTTCAAATATTTGCGTCTAAAGCTTTAAAATATTCTCATGGACCTTACCAAAGACTTGAAAATCTTGTTTAAAATTGAAGTTTTCAAATTTTTCAAGAATGACCTGTACTGTCTCATCCATGAAACTCTCCGATTTCAACATATTTCAAGGATCAGTATTGAATAAGATAGTGCTCTTTTTTAGAAGTTATGTGATGGTTTTTTTTTTTTTTTTTTTTTTGATGTAAGTATTACAGTTTCAAATTCGTGGGTTATTTTAGTTTAGTCTAACTGAAGTGGATTTTTTTTCTCATTCTTTCTATAGCCTGGTGATGAGGTGTTTCCAAAACTTGAAAATTTACCTGAAGAATGTGTGCGAGAAATATTACTGAGGCTAGCTGACCACAAAGATCTTGAGAACAGCAGCAAAGCGTACTCAGTCATGGCACGATTATGTGATGAGCAAAGAATATGGCGAGAGCTGTGCCAGTTTCATTTCACTCAGCAGCAAATCAACTTTGTTGTAGATTCTACTAGTTCAGATGGACCCACTGACTGGCAGAACATATATCACAAATTGAGGAAGTAAGTATTCAAAATATTCAAGTCATTGTTTGCATTATTGAATAATTTATTGTTAACTGCTTTTTAAACCTTCAATATGATCACATTTTAATGAACATTTATACTCTATGGTTCAGCAAATAACTGCTAAGCCTTTCAGAAAAATGTGATGTCATCATGAGATTGAGTTCAGGAGCATGATCAAACTTCTGGGTACACAGCGGCTAAATGGACTACCTGACATGGCATGAATTTAAACATTCTGATGTATGTATCCTCTTCAAAATTGTACATTTAGAAAACGATTCGCAAGAAAAACCTGAGTCAGCATGAATCAAACTGCGCACTTCACCAATTATGGCAAGCTTCTTATTCAAACAGTTTTCCTTCCTCTCTTTGTGTTGTTCTAAGTGCAAACAACATGTAACAGCTCAGCCCAAGTGCCAAGATTGAGGTTGCCGTATTTTCATACCACAGAGAATGTTATGATACTGTTTAGTGTGCAATTTAACTCAAGTAGATTATGGTTTTTTCATGAGAGGAAGTTTGAATTTATGCATAAAAAAACAATAATAATCTGGTTAGCAGTTACTTCCATTAATTTTCCGTGCGAAAATTGTGTTCCATATGAAATAATGAGAGAGCATATAACATAATGCTTAAAGGTGCACTTTGTCTAGTGGTCCATTGCCGATATTTAAGCCTCTAGAGAGAGCCTTGCGGGTCAGATTGACCCACTACTACTATTGTAATTTAATATTCAGAGCTATCCTTTGTGAATTTTATAACACATAACCCAAGACTTGGATGCCCACTTCTTTGTTTCAGCTATGTTGATTCCTTTCAGAGTTTGAGCTTTGAAGGATTTTTTTTAAATCTTGAGGAATGCATTTCAACACCGAGAAAATTATTCAGCATTTTATAATTTTCTTGCTTTGTATGTATTATTTTATCATATATTTATTCTCTAAGGACCAACCCTGCAAGATTATCCATAGATTGATTCAGTGAACTAGAAAATGTCTTGTAAAAATTGTAACGGCAAAATTTTTAAGTTCTGTATTCTTAGTAAATAGGGAGATAAAAATGAGTGACATCTGAGATCAAGTTGTTAGTATCAAATTGAGATGAAAATAATTGAAAGAAAGTGTATCTTTTTTTTGTTTTTTGTATCATTCAAGTGTATTTGAAATTTGAGTCATGTCAAGTGTCACAAAGCACCGATGAAGGTTGGGGTATAAAATTCTAACCATTCAATTGGCATGCTCCTCTCCTACCATGACCCCACCTTTTTTCAAGTTGGAGCCTGTGGTCTGATCTTGCCATTTTTGTTGCAGAGCATTCGGATTACGTGAAGAATATGCTGAAATTATTCAATTATGCCGCAACTGCCGCGCATTGTTCTGGAAATCCATAGGACACCCTTGTATTGCAGATACAGACCCTGAATTTCAAGAGAAACTAGAAGCTGTCGACAAGAGTTCGCTTCATGTACCCATCCCTCCACAGGCTTTCCTGAAGTTTTTCTCACTATAGGTACCTTTTTATTTTGTCAGTCTTCACCTTCTGTCACTGAGCTGTTTAAACACTAATGAATCATTATTTAAGTGTTCTCTTCTCGGATCTTGTGCTTCTTTTTTTTATTGGTATAGTTGGATTACCAAAAATTTCAAAAGGAAAGAAAACAAAATGACGGTTCCAACGTCTTCACGTTGGAGAGCATTTACCGCAGCACCTTGTCAATGTGTATAAGTGGTTTTGCGCGGACGGAAGAGAGTGCTGCAAGACGCTGTTGAACTAAACGTGGAGTGTAACCAAGGAAACATACATTTATACAAGAATCATAGAGTAAAATATAGGGGTCATTAATGAGGGGGTACTTTGTACCCAAAAATTGTTCTAGAATTACGACGACAAAAAATTTGAACGATGCTTGAAAGAGTCATTAAATAAAAGTACGTTGCAGAGTTTTAAAACGTAAAGATATTAATTTCTCAAAGACAAGCCTACAGGCATTAGGTAAAGTGGAAAAAATGGGAGAAAAAAGGTAGAAATGGTACATAAATAAAATTGAGAAACTAGGTAGTTCTTCCCGTCACGAAAAATGGCGCCGATTCCCATAAGGCAGTGCGGGCTATTACCAATGGATCCATTAGTAACATACGCGCTGAAAAAAGCCGGAAAGAGCGTACTCCACCAACGTGGTGAAAGCTCAAAAAGCTAGTAATAAAGTGATTTGATTATCCTCTTTCATTCGGCTCAAATCATTTATTCAATGAGGCAAGGCCTCTAGATTTAAGAGTGAGGTTTCAGCAATCGCATAAATCATTTTTACGTACAAATTAGGCTACGCTTCCCCCTCAGATGATTTTTGAAAAATCAAGCTTCCTAACAAAAAATATTCGTTTTGAAACTGGGCAGAACATTGAATGAGTATTTATTTTTAAGTTTATCATAATTTCCCTCAAAAAGAGGCTGTCCCATTTTCCGTAGGATATGGCTGCAAGAGATTTTCCATCCATACTTTCAGGAATCATAACGGATCATCAGAGAGGCCTAAATCCGGTGACCTTTTCCGTCTGAAAAGTTCACCTGATTTAGGCCTCTCCAATGATCCGTTATGATTCCTGAAAGTATGGATGCAAAATCTGTTGCGGCCATTTCCTATGGAAAATGGGACAGCCTCTCAGAGTCTAAGACAATGTTGCTTTTATTTCTGTTGCAAATGACTTTTTGAACGTCACGTGAATCATTAACAGCTGTTGTAAAGTTTTTGAGCAACGAAATTACATGGTTCCATCCAAGTCATATTTGCTTCTAAAGCTTGAAAAAGGAGTGGTATCATCCCCAAATTCATTACTCTTCAATTTTCCCCCAAAAAAAGTTTTAGTTTGTAACAATAAAATTTGCAGTATCCCATTTTTTTTTCCAATCAGTAGTTCAAAAATGTTACTTGTTTTAACTTTATTCAAGCCATGTCACTCCAGACCCCAATGGATTCAATGAACATTGATCTTTTACAAACTCGCAAATTCCAATCATGAATGTAATTTTAAAATCTGATTCTTATTTCAGGATACACGTGTGCATCAACCTACGCAAGCATTATTTCAGTTCGATAGCATCTCCTCTCCTAAGTGCAAATGTTATTATTTCCAAGTGACCGTGGAATTTGTGGTTTGCACTAATGTACCTTGTTTCTACCCGTGAATCTTCTTCAGCTCTCCAATTCTACTTACATGCGGGAAAATCACAAAAACAAGTCTAAACAAAGTAGAATACTCAACCGTTTTGTCACTGTCAGATCCCCAGCAAGGCTCAGTTTCTTGCAACAGGCCCATTTTTGTTTCTGATCAATTCGATATGGTCCTAAAAATTTGAATCTAGCAGGGATTCAAAAATAGCAACTATGTAGATAAAAACCAACATATTGATTCTGTAAATTTTAATTTGGAATCAAAAATCAGGGGAAAAAATTACTGCCAAAAAACCAGCTTGTCTCATTCTTCTCCAAAGCATAATTGGTTTTCTGTATCGATTCATCTCAAATATTTTTCATCCTCTGTAGCTTGGTTCATAAAAGATGTGCTTGCTTTTATATTTGCAACTTCTTTAAAACAAACAATATTTTAAGTACTGTCTGAAAATTTCTGAAACATGTCAGTGAATTTGGATTTCATGCTGAATTTTTATCAACTGTAAGCATTTTGTCATTGTTGAATTTTTTGCAAAAGTTTTCGGATGTATTTCGATAAAATTTTCAAATCCGAGTTTGTATTTTCCTCGGAATATTTGTGTTCAGCCACTCTGTATTCAGTAGGCTCCTCCAGAACTATCTGCAAAGTTTCTACAAGACTTTTAAGATCAAAAGGCTTATTTGAAATATTAATGTTTTTAATGACGTCACTTTAAAATTTCTCTCCATTATTTCAAAACAGCGTGAATAAAATTTTCAAACCATTATGCATCTCGGTGTAAAACGTAGCCTCTTAATTTTTGGCTGCCTGTTTGGGAAATAAGTCTATTTTCTATTCATTTGTTTCTATAATACTCATTTATCATAGACGAGTAACTTTTTGCTTTTTTAAATACCTGGTCAATTGCTCACAGGTTTTTGCTAATTATAATTTTGCAATTACCTTTAATTTTTGCTAAAATACTAAACTGCATCGCAAGATCTGAGACTGAAGAAGTAGGAGTCAAATGAAATGATGTCCATGATATTTTGAGGAATCCTGTCAATGCTTTGACAACCCTTTTGCACTTCACAATTTTTTTTTGTGCTGTTCTGACGGGGGAAAAACCTCAGCCCCCAGTGCAAAATTTTTTTCTTTAAATTTATTTCTCGGTAAATCAAGTAAGAAATCCAGTGTCAAAGTTTTTGACAGTCTCTGTGGAACATATATTCGTAGCACTTTTGACTGAGATTGATATTTCCAGGTGCTCTCCATCATAATATCCATAAAGTATTTTCTGCACATTGATTTTGAGTTCAAATTTTGCAACTGGGGGGGGCTCATGGGTCCCTCATCCATGGAACAGCACAATTTAAAGGGAGGCATTTTTCATGTACTAGATGTGATGAGCAGTGAGAGCTTATAGCTGAAAATTCTGAGAGGCAGTGACATTTTTTGAGATGGTTAAGTTCAATGTCATGGAACTCATCGACAAAATTCCTCTAGCCTACCAAACAACCTTTCTACTGTGGTGATACTTATTCCCTGAAAACATGCCAGGGCTAGCATATTCAATCACAATACCACTGTTAAATTCAAACACGGACTTGATATTATTGTCTTGCAAGTTCGACAGAATGTTCGCAAAGAAATGGAAAGCTGTTAGCATTATTGTAAACTCTGCAGAGCATTATAGCTTTTATGTAGGTTTTGTGATAAAATAATATAAGTGAGTTATTAATCATAAGTTTGAGGTGTGAACTAATAGTATTTTAGGGCTCTGTAAAATGGAAGAATGGACAAGTGAAATAGCGGTGTGGCAGTCAGGCTTAATCCATTGAGATCTCATGATAAGGTATCATGAAAGGCAATTGTGTTCTATCACATCCGTAAAAAGGACATTACTTCACAAGGATGTACAGTCTCTGCCCCAGGACTTATATTCCTCAACATTCAATTTTCACCCTTGAGCCTTGCGCCAAATGCCTCATTTGTCCTATTTTCTATTTACCTTGGTATTTTTATCAGAAAAAACTGAAAAATATCAATTATGATTTTTTTTTTGTCCTGAACGTATATTTTTAAGATTCTTTTGTTGATTTTTGTTTTTGTTGAATCTTTAAAGTGCTGAAACTTCTTACTGTACGAACTTGAGATGAAAGTGCAGAATGACACCCCCCCCCCCAAATAGCAATTCAATTTATTGATGATTTATCCAACAATTTTGTTTTATTTTTCCTTTGTTTTTTTTATGACAGTTACAGTGATTTATTTTTAGTTTTACCATTTAAGATAGTCATTATTTCATATTTTAATTTCTTTATTATTTCTTTAGTCAATAAAATTTGATTTGTGCGAAACAAAATTGATTGTTATCCTTTTTAGGGTGGCTTGAGTTTAGTAAGTTTAATTCTTAGCTATCTTTTTATTTTTTCTGTTTGCCCACACCATTGTTTTTCTGTGCATGTATCAAGCCTATCCACTTATTCTCTAAGGCCTGTCCTCAAAATAATCAAGCAATGGTCCTTTTTTCTTTTTCCCCTTTTTTTGGAGTTGGATAGCGGTAAGCAAACCAGTAACAGTAACATTGAGAGTTTTGAAAAAAGATTTAAGAGCAATCTTGGAGGACTGGTTACAAATGTTGGATAAGCATGCATATCAGTTTGAAAGGGGGCAATGACCATGAGAAGCTTGGGAAAAGGACGTACTTGCCAAAACTACCCAATGTTCTTTACAACTCCATTGTCACTTTGGTGTTTTTGATCCCTCTGTATATATGACCCATTTGCTTAGTGTTGCTCCAACATGAACACAGTCTAGCAATACGGCCCCATCTGCAAAAATGTCCAAAAAAAAATATTCTGTGTGCTCAGTGCAACCCAATTTTAATAGTATGTGGGGTTTCTTGCATAGAATTATACCAAACAGTGCCTCCATACAACCGAGTGTAACCTAAATTTCTCTGCTTAGCAGATAAGCTTTTATTAAAAAGGCCTATGTAGATATGACTGGTTTGCCTAGTGCTATGCAGTCATGAATGGAAGTGTTATGTTTTTATATTTTGTTTCAAGCTCGTCTGCTCATCGGTTTTTTTTTCTCTTTAAAACCCTCTTCTGTTTCAAGCTCACCTTGTTTGGAGGATAGGCCCACCAAAAATTTGTCTCTCCTTTTCTGTTTGGCCTCTAGCGAGATTTAAAGCCAAGTAAGCATGATGAGTTGACTTGCTGATCCGACATTGCTCTGAACGATAGTGCATCAAAATCTCACCAGTTTTTGATCATATCATCAGCTAAATTTTTTTGAAAACTCTCAATGAAAAGTTTTTAAAGATTTTTACTCTTATCATGGCCAGCGCTTGCCTCTCCTCCTTGCTTTTCAGTTCTGTGATATTTTTACATACTAAATGATTTACGAATGGGCCTTTTTTATACTTTTTTTGATAATTCTCTTTAAATTATGCAAGTTTTACGTACTTCGCTGGTTTATTTTTAATTTTTCATAATTATTTCACTGTGTTCCCTTCATCCTCAAAAAATACCCACTTCCTGACCATAAAGCGTTTTCACTCAATATTTTTCCGCCTGTTGTCTACCCTATCAACTGTTCGCTTGTATTAAGTATCACTTAATGTATTTTTATTCTGAGTGTATGATAATGTTACATGAACATATCCTGTTAATTGTTTGGAAGTTTCTTGAAAGCATTTTAATGTTTGTGGACATAGAAAGTTTATATATTTATTTATCTATTTTCTCCAAATATTTATTATTCATGCCATGATGATATTTATTTTTGATAAATACTCCAGGATTTTGTTGAATGATTTCTAACCCATCATGTATGTCAATCAGTGACTTATGCGCTTTAAGAATGAAGCATTTAGTACAAATTAATCTCCAATCCAGGTTCTTGTCAAAACCAGCATACATTGTGTGTAAAGGAATACTAAAAAACGAATAATTAGAAAGTATGTTCATGTCAACACTTAACATCATACCTATATTTTTACTCATGAAGTCAAAAATGAAGAAATGAACCGGTTCAAATTGAAGATGAATTTAGCTTACTCAGCATGTTAACATTTTTAGAAATGTACTTAAAATTTGCCTAAATAAGGAAAGTTTGGAGGATCTGCTTTCTTTAGCTAGGGATGATCTGAAATACGTCTTTCATGGAGAGTTTATCTATCTTCATTGATTATGACTTGCTCCAATTCATAATTTAAAGTAATGTACATTATGTTCTTCCTTCTTTTGAAAGAGGAAGATAATTAGTCTGTTTTTGTCTTTTTTCTCTTTTTTAGAATTTTTTGGCTATTTTTCATCGTGTCCCAAGATCCTCATGAGCTCAGTGACTGCCTCGGCTTTCGGCTGATGTTTCTTTCAAAATCTCTGGCTCATTATTTTCAGCTTTTCAATGTCAAAAAATTGTGTTCCAAAATTAAGTTTGGTTATCATTTCCATCGTTGCATTCTTTCTGTTACACACTTGGCCCATGTGAATGGATAATTTTGCCATTGTCAGAAAAAACTAAAGCTTTCTATTGTTACATATTGATAGAGCGCCAGATTCACTTGGGTGGAAAAAATTTCTAGAGATATCTGGAAAAAGTTCATGCAAGCTGCACCTAATTAAAAGGGCAAAATTGTTCATATCTTAATGATAATTAAAGAAAACAAAGTAGAAAAGTAGTTAGTATTCAATTGCATTGGGAAAAAAGACAAAATTAACGGGGAGTATCGTAAGTAGCCCCCAAGTTTCTGTTTAACATTACTTTTCACTGCTGAAGCAGTCACCTAACTTTGATTTTTCCTCTGTTTACTAGGAAAATCTGTTCTTTTATTTCTGGGTGCTTTGCAAAAATGAAAAATAATTTTATGGAGAACAAAAGGAGGTGATGGCAACTTTCGGTCTGTCTACATCTTGACATAAAAGGCATTTTGTTTTATGGGAATATTGCGGCAATATTTCCACAAAATCCTAAATTCAAGATTCAGAAAATGAACTTAAACGTCGTTCTAGCGTAATAACTTGCATAATATGATTTTAAACACTCTTTGATGTTTGACTTGTTTCTATAAATCATGTCACTCGTGAAAATTGATGACAAAATTGGTCTGTACCCCACTACCCATCTGTGTTCCGAAATGTAACCACCTCCCTTTTGTTCTCTCTTTGTAGAACTCGTGTCAGATAAGTTAGAAGTTTTTTACTTTCTGTTTGCAAGCAACCGCATTGTAGTTGTTCTGTAGCCATCGAGGATTTGCCGCTTGCAGAAACAAAAGGCTCTACTGTGCATGACAGTCGGAAAGTAAATAATTGCCACCTTATCTAATATGAGTTCTTTTACATTTTCCAACTGTGATACCCATAGACAACAGATGTTTTCAGTTAATGACTTGTAAATTGAAAAACGGAATCCCAGGACCTAGTGTTCAACCTTATGTTATACTCTCACTTCTTTCCTTCGAGTTTGTGGCATCTGTGGAAAATTAAACACAGGTTTAAAGTACTACTCACTTTTTGGTGTCCAAAATATCATATAATCCATCCATTATTGAGCCCATCTTCCTCTAATGATATATTACCTTATACCTTTTAAATTCTATGCGTGGTTTTCCTTATTTTTGAAATCATCACAGCTTTGCTGCTTGTTATCAAAGGAACAGAAACCTTTGTCTAAATTGAGCTTTTCAGTTGCTCTGTGAAACTTGTGGATTCGTCAAGTTCGTAAGATTCACAGAACATGATAATATTACCATCTGAAGGACTCAGCCTGTAATATCAAGAAATTCGGCTCTGGCTAAATTTTTTTATACAGGATTTCTAATGGAGATGCGGAAATGTGGCTATGTAAGTGTGAATGCTGTAACGCACTTCGTTATCATTTGGAAAAACTTGATCCTTTTTGTTTGTCTAATCTTAGTGGTTGGTGAGGGAACAAGAGCTCTCCTCGATCACCAATCAGATATTGCAACCTTTCTATCAGCCAAGTACATTTGAAAATGCTGAAATTCACTTTTTAGCCTCCTTTTTTCTGAGATTTACACTCAGAAAGTTCAATTTTAAAAGCTCATTGTGCTCTGTAGGAAATGTATCAAATAATATAAAAATATAGCCAGGACCAAATCACTTGAAATCATCTGCGTAGTCCTTTGTCAGACTTATGCTTTGACCAAACTCATTATTCAAACTACAAGCAGTTGAAACCTAAATTAAATATTGTATAATATTTCAATGGCATTTTATTTTTTCTGAATTTGGTTTTAACAAACTATTTTTTATCAGCAAATTTAAAATTTTACCCTCTGATAGATTGCTTAGTTTCCGATGGTTTTTTTTTGTTTTAAATCGTCTGTGCAATCTGCCTCCTGTTTTTTCAATAAATTTTCTTTCCGTTGTTTTAACCGTAAAATTTTTAGTTTTAAAAAGCAAATTTAGAAGTCAAATTTAGCAGCTATTTAATCCTTGCATTTTTTTATTTTTATTTTTTTTAAGCGACCTAGTATGTATTTTATGTACATTGATTAATTGAAGAGCACTCTACTTGAATTCATCACAGAATTATAAGGCCACTAATATTTAGTTTTGGGAAAAATAAGTTTGATTGCAGGTTTGTCATGTACATAATAATATTACGAGAAGAATAATGTGTATGATAGCTTTAATTTTTCATTTTGTGGTAGAGATTTTATATTTTTTTAAACCTGTTCCATGGCGAAATCTGCACTTCAAATATCTTGCATTTTTCCTTTTATTGTTAGCAGTAATTTTTGTGTTAAATTTCGTGTTATAATTTTTGTGGTCAATGTGTTAGTGTAGTCTAGTGATTCCTTGTACTATTTTCAAAAATTATACGAACCTTCTAAAGGAATTTTTTTGTTGTACCTCATCACTTTTTTGAGGGGGGGGGGGCGGCAATCAAATGAAACTGTCAATGATAACAAAATATTTAGTTAACCAACGAATCACTGTATCTTATGAATTAATACAATTCTGACCAGTCAAAGCGACTGTCAAAACACCTCAAAATGCGATTCCAGCATTAGTCCTCTTGTCTTAGAACCATGCTCTAGTGGTTGTCACTTACTTCATCAGTTAAGGAACAATTCAGCACCAGTACGAAAGCAAAACTTCTAAATTATATAAATTTTCTCTTTTTCCATGAAAAGTCCTAGACCTTTCACATGACAATTTTTTTAACACAGACCAAGATAAAGCACCCTGCATGTGCATGTTTTGCAGCAAACTGAACTTAACTTAGGCGCTGTTTTAATTTCTTTCCATCAGTTTTTTACTTTTTTTTTTTGTTTTTGTTTTAGGAAATCCTCCGCATTTGCTGTAAATCACGTAATAAGTTGCATATTCTTGGTAAAGTCACATGACAATGAAGTTATTTTGGCATACAACTTTCTCCTTGTGAGAAAGATGAATATGTTTCAAACTACACAGTGGATTGAGTCAATTAGAGATGTCGGACATGAAAATTTTGACTGAAACTGCAAATTATGATGTTTTTTTCGTTAAATCTTAAATTTCAAGGGGTGCCTCTAGAAGAAAATTTCATGAGCAAACCAATAGACCCATTTCTAGAACCCTACAATTTTGCTTAAATGGAGTCATAAGCTTTTAAAGTTTCCGAATTTTGTCCGACCTCTCCTATTGACTAGATCCACTGTGTACCTATTAGATACAGAAGAAGAGAAAGTACTGCCAATATAAACATAGAAAATTTTCAATTATGTTTTACGGCGCAAAAGATGGGATAGAAATAGAATCAAAATCAGTTGATAATTTCAATTTATGTTTTACGATGCAAAAAACGCGACAAGAACTACATCGAAATCAACAAAAATAGCATCGAAATCAGCACAGCAAATAGTAGCATCTAAATCAGCCAAAATATAACATAAGAATACTCCCAACACTGTAATCATTCCATTCTGCCAGCATCACATTTTTTTGGAAAATTGACTCTGAAGTGTTGCGATAGAAATCAGAAATAGTCTACTTAATCAGCGTAAATAAGCGACGCAGGAATCAATTTGAGGCGGAAGCGAAACAAGGAACGCACCCTCAGTTAATATCACATGCAATGCAAGGCACACTTGCATGCGATACAAACTCTCTATACATTCGAGCTCCACGGACGGCCGTGTTGCATACACACGACAGAGAAGGCGTTTTAATTCTCCAGGCACGCACCATTGCACCCGCGCGCAGCCACCAGCGCAGTGGGTTGCACTGCGAGAATCCAAAATGACAGACCTTCGTTTATACTGCCGTGCTAAGGAAGAACGCCATGTCGCCGCACGAACCTCCAGACTTTGCCACATTTCCTTCAATGAAGACCTAATGTACTCGGAAAATTTTGAATGTTTTTCTTCAATTTGTCAGACAATTTTGTTCGCAATTTTGTCTAAAATGTCTGAAAATTTCATGGAAAAATACGCACAATTTTTCTCAAAAATACATGTTTTATCTGGGGCGATTTGGCAACTCTCGAAAGTTCATACGGCGCTCTTCCTTAGCACGGCAGTATAGGTCGGTAAACCAAAGCACGAATGCATACAAAAAAATAAGGGAAATGCATCTTGTTTAATCCTGAATATTATATAAAAGATTCCAAACGGAGTCACAGGAGTCTCAGAAAGCCAAAGTCTTGAAGTAAAGGCTGTTTTTTTTTTCTTTTTAAGATTTTCAACCAGAACACAGAATAGAAAGTATTGGCTTTAACATTAACAATGAGACGTGGCGTTGCGCCATGGATTATAAAAATTATAGTAATAGTTTACTTCTCCGGCTCAATAGGCCACGCTGACTTTAAGTTGAGGTGTACTCGCAGTAAGTAAGAAAAAAAGGCGAAGTCATTTTCAGCTTCAGCGACAAAAATTACGTGAGAATATATAGATCTATTTACTCAGGCACGTGGAGGAAAGAATGTCCCATCTTCTCCAACGCAGAACAATTGAATATGCTGTAGTACATGGTGGTGTATCAGCGGACGTACCCACGTACCCCCTAATTTCCTTGATCATCGCAAAAATCTGTATCGCTGTGAATCATGAACTGCGTTAAGGATTGGGACGAATGAGGATGAAGGAAGTATGACAGGAAACGAGATGTGCACCGAATCATTCTCAATCTGCTCCTCCTTGCATCCGAGTCCCATTTATCTCATTTTACTTTCGGCAGTTTTTCGGGTGTGGTGCGGCTCAAATCAACTTCCTGTTTTCCTCAAATGGACTCAGATAGATAACTGCCAGGAACGCACGGCTGGGAACTGAATGCATCATAGCGATCATTAACCCATTCATTTTCAACGGAGACTTAAACGCGAAAGTAGGAAAATAAGCGCATCTCGGAAACGGAACACAGCACACATATTACACCCTGTAATGTATGGGGTCATAAGACTAACGCGTAACGCATAACGCCTGAGGCGCGAAGCGCTTCGGGGGATTGGACTGCAAAGCGGTCAGGGGGTCCCCCTCTCTTAAGTAAAATGAGATGATGAGGTGAATGGGACTCGGATCTATAGATTTTTTGGTAGAAGCTAGTGGTAGAAGTTTTTACTAGTTTAGTATGAATAATTGACGTGATTTAACAATTTTTCATCCAAAATATATCATAAGACTCCAATATGAAGGGGAGGGGAGCAGTGGCGTGGCGTGCTTTGCGATATATCGATTGATCTGCCATTTAAACCTATGGAAAAGAATCGATAAACAGGGTGTTCGTAGCGAACACCTTAATAATCGATTTTTTACCATAGCTTCAAATGGGGAAACATCGATAATCGATTGTTCACGCCACGCCACTGGAGGGGAGGATCGAACGGAGCGTTTCCTTATTTTTTAGAGGGTTGCAGATTTTTGCTACGATCGCGCTACGGAGGAAAGGGTTGTCAAAAGATTCATTTTTCAGCGTTATGTGGTTTATAAACAGCCCCTCCTTCGTCTCTCATATCCCAGGTTACCGAAAAATCTAGTCGACTCCCGAAAAATCGACATTGGGGGGAATGTCCTATTTTTCCAGGGAAATGCCTACTGATCAAGAAACACGGAGGATATCCTCGGAGCATGGATGGAACTAAAAACTTCCGTAGGGGGGCCAGAAAGGAAAATTTTAAAAAATTGAGTCGTCTCAGCAGTAATTTTCTTTTGAACTGTGATCGCCTAAATATGAATCAAATCCCAATATCCAAGCAGGGCCGGATTTACCTACCGGCCGCCCATGAGCCTGTATTTTGCCGCCCCCTTCTCATTAGTTTTGAAACATCAATAAAAACCATCAAGTGAACGTGCCAGCGGGGGTGGGGTGCATGAGACGCGTTTACTCGTGTTGGGCACATTTTTTGGGAAAGCCCTGTCAACACTACTGACAAAAATTCACCGAACTTTGCGCGAACGTTAAGTTTCGTAAACCTATCTCTGCGTGGACGAGGCCCTCCATTCATAAGAAATGGACGAAAAAATTATGAAAGAACGCGGCGTGTTTGACGCAATGCGTGAAGTATTCACTCAGTCTTGTAGGCGCTATCCGTTTCACGCTGACCGCAGTGACCGCACTCTGTGTTTGATGCAATACGTGAAGTATTCGTGCAGTCTTGTAAGAATGTAGGCGCTAATATGCGTTACATGCCGACCGCCGCGTCGAGGGCTTCTCCTTTTCATCTCAAGTCTTCGTCATCATTTCTCTCTCAGTCGCGCCGTTCCTGGCCAAATTGCATGTTTGGTCTCTCTCTTAACTCAACTAATTAAAGGTGCTGTCTCTTGTATCACCGAAAGACGACAAAATTAGAAATTACTGTACTCTCAGGAAATGATAGATTTTGTTTGTAATTTTTTTTCTAAATCCGATTTTTTTTATACCTACATTTAAAAAAATTGCAAAATTTGCCGCCATGGGCCGCGGCCCATGTGACCACCCCCTTAATCCGGATCCTTAATCCCATATTTTTCATCTTGGATAATCCAAGATGAAAATTATGTCACGCACTTACTTAGCGACATCTTTCACATATCTTGGGAGGGGCTAAGTAGAATTTTGGGGGAGGCATGCCTCTTGCCTCCCTAATTCTACATATTATGTATTGGAATCAGCGCTAAAAATCCACCTTCGGGCTATCTTAAAAAATAAGTTTTTTGTTTACCGAATACATTCCTGTCACAGATTTACTCTCGAATGCTGTATTAAAATCCGTCCTTTTCTCAAGCTTTTGATAGCAATAGTCCGGCGTGCCAATGAACCAAACAATTCACCTCTGTCCTCCACTCCTCTTTCTCAAAATCTCTAGTTTTTTCAGCAGCGAGGCGTGAATGATCGATTATCGAAGTTTCCCCATTTTAGCTATGGTAAAGGATCGATTATTAAGGTGTTCGTTGCGAACACCCTGTTTACCGATCCTTTTCCATAGGTTTGAATGGCAGATCAATCGATACATCGCAAAGCACGCGACGCCATGTTTTTTCCCCTCGGCGGTCTCCAAGCACGCCATGCATGTGCAACGTGCATGCGAACGCTCTACTACTTGCGTTTGCAATAAAATGCATTAACGGCGAAAGTAAAAAAGGAGCCTGCAGGTGTCGAAGTATATATGTGTGTACTTAGAAAGTTGTGCATTTGCCCCCTACTGTTTTCTCCTAACTCTAACTGTTGCGACATGACCCTTTAAAGTGAGAGTGAAGACGTTTGGAATCCCTTCGTAATCGGCTCTTGTCTCTGATTGGTGCACACAGTGCTGCGATGCCCTGACTTATGTGGTCCCTCTTGGTTTGTGATTCTGGCAACCGGTAAAAGTGTAATCTTTCTGACTAGAGTACCTATATTGAGAGAGTATGGCCACTGGGCCCCATGGAGAGGCTTAGGACC